TGGCGTTGCTATTGAACCTGATGGCGCAGCTATTGAACGTGATGACGCGTGTGGTGTGGTTGGAAAAACATGCCTACTAATTCGGTCAAATTTTAATTAATTCATAAAAAATTAATTAGGCATCCAATTAAGTCAAATTTAGTTTCAGATTGCATTGTCTTCATGTCTTGACCCACGTTCCAACTGTGAATCGTATCGGTCAAGTAGAAGTGTCCGAATTTTCGCTCCGGCGTTTCGATCTAGACAGACTGACGACTGACGACTGACGACAGACAGAGGAAGTGAGTTAAATAAAAGCTTGTAAAAATACCTCAAAATAAATCTTTACAACACAGGAAATGAACGATTATTTATGGTAGTTTCGCTCTTTTGTCGGGAACGACTCAACGGAATTTAAAAGACGCATAATGAAGACATTAACGTCACATGGATAATACAGGAACATACAGGAATTTTTAAAAACAAACGAAATATATACAGTTCTAAAGACGGAAAAGTACACACAATAAATGACGTCAATGATTCTAGATTTAACATAGAATTAAAAAACCATTGCCGAAAAAAAAACACCATAATAATGACGTCATCAATATTTCTTAATAAAACACTAAAGAAAAAGTCTGAAAGAAACAAGGCCAAAAGTAGAAAACGGGTCTAGATTAAAGAATTAGGGTCCACCTTTAGTCTGTATGATTTTCATAATAATGTGACCAGTGTTTCTTTCAGAGTTTTTTCTACCCGGAAGGGGAGGGGGCACTTATAATTTCGGGAGGGGGGGGGGGGAGATGGTGGACTAAATTTCCCCGGGGAGGGTGGCGGATAATGATCAAAGTATATTTTCTATATAAATTCTATATCGTTATAAGGGGCGGTGGACGTTCTTCGCGGACTCCCCCCCCCCTCCCCTAAGTAGGGTCACCAGACAGAAACTCTAAATGCGATTTTGTCATGTTTGATATTAGATGCAAGCTTTACGAGTATAGCTACGACTATATTTAGTATCAATGTGCACTAACTACGTGTAGATCAAGCTTTCATCTGATTAAAATGCTGATTCTGGATAAAAAAAATCCGATTTCAATGACATTTTTCATTTCCGGTTAATTTCGAAATTGAGGTGGTGATTTAGGTTTTGGTTTCGATTTAGAGAAATAGACTACACTATCAACTAAGTGCCCGTTGTATTTCTCCCTAAACGGGACATTTATCTCGTTAAATATTATTGACATTTTACTTGGAATAATGACACATTTCACTCAATTTTGGTCGTATTATCTGTTGATACTGTTTTGAGGTATTAAACTTTACTAAAACTAAATCTAACATCAAAAGTGAGTATTCTTAGCATAAAAGATTGTTATATATTTGCGAGCTCTCTTCCAGTTATTTTCTACACTTTTTTTTACAATTTTAGCAACATTTATCAATTCTCTATCATGGACAAATCATAATAGCTACTCACATGAGACTGGTTCAAACTATAGCCATATATGTCCTATAGATACATAGTAATATAGCTGTGAACTTGATTTTTTTGTTTAGATTTGTCCCACAGTTGAGGTCATTTTTGCATTGCGGAAAGTTTTCCTTTTTTGTTTAAATATAAACAAAAAATCTTTACTTTAAACACAATCTTATGACACTTCATTTTCCACACAATAGAATTTGAAAGCTATAATGTTACAAAACATGGCATATATAGGTCTAATAGTTTTTTTTAATAATTTTAAAATGTAACTACGTTCTGGGTGTATTTGCCCCCTTGACTGTATAAAGTGAAAGCTTATCATCAATATTATATCCGCTTTATCTTTGGCTTCCTTTGCTTGGTATATTGTTTAAACATTTACCTAGCATGATTTTACCTAAAGCTTTGTCTACAAAAACTACTTCCCTCAGGCTTTGAAAGGACCAGGAAGCCGAAGTGCCCCAGCCCTGACTGATCAAGTCTACAACACCATTTTGGGATGGAACATGTTCTCTAACAAGGAGACAGCAAGAAAATCTGCTCAAAGCGTTGCCGTGTATATCACTGATGGTTCCTCGGCTTATTTCAACAAATGTATAGTTTACGGTTTTAATTTTATTTATATTAAGTGTGATCATTTTAATTTCTTTCGCTTTCAAAATATATATTGTCTTAATGGTAGTAACAAAAGTCATTAGCCTTGTTTTTATTAATACAATTTCAAAGCTTATACTAGTTTAATCTGTATGATAATTTCTTGGTACAAGTAAGTAAGTGTAATCTGATATGTATTCCCATACCAGCGACCAACCCGTTGAAGAGCCTTAACGTAAAGATTGTCACCATTGGTATTGGCAGTAGCGTTTCTGTGCCAGGCATCAAAGCTCAGTCCTCGTCAGCTGATGACGCTCTACTGACCGCAAGTTTTGACGCCTTGTCTGACCTGAAAAATAAGACCGTACAAAGGACTTGTGGGGGTAGGTGTGGTGGGGTTAATTTTTGTTAATACTAATTAGATTTTGAAACCTGCTT